TTGGCCGAAATTTTTATTTATTTTTCTATTACCTGGACTCTGTGAACCTATCCATTTTGCCTTTTAAAAATACTTAGGTGTAAATATAGATATTCATTAACTCATTGTTTTAATCTATATTTCCAAAGGCAATTTAAAAGATCAGAAAATAAGACCAAATTCATATAAAAATGCATACTTTAGGCTGGGCACAGTGGCTCACATCTGTAATCCCAGCACTTTTGGAGGCCAAGGCGGGCAGCTCACCTGAGGTTAGGAGTTCAGGACCAACCTGGCCACCATGGCAAAACCCTGTCTCTACTAGTAAATACAAAAATTAGCTGGGCATGGTGGCATGCACCTGTAATCCCAGCTATTCGGGAGGCTGAGACAGAAGAATTGCTTGAATGTGGGAGGCAGAGGTTGCACATCTGAGTGGTGAAATTGTGATTCTTTTTTTATCTTTGTCTATATTTTGTGAACTTTTCTATAATGAGTGTTTTGTTTTTATATTGGAAAAATATTATGCTTTCAAATGTTAATCCTATGAAACTAAACACAAGTAATAAATATATTAGTATAGCATTTATTAAGGTTTCTTGTACATAGAAAATATATTTAAATGGCTGACATGATTTTCTAAGAATACATACTTTTATTTTTTATAACATTAATAAACAGCAGCATCATTACTTTAATCCATCATTTCGTTTACCACTATATACCTGTTCATCATATGTATTGTCATGTGCTTTTTAAAAATCTAGATGAGAAATATTCGATTATCTGACTTCACTGAATCCTTGAAAAAAATAAAACGCAGCGTCAGCCCTCAAACTTTAGAAGCGTACATTCGTTGGAACAAGGACTTCGGAGATACCACCGTTTAAGGAAATACCTTTGTAAACCTGCAGAACATTTTACTTTACAAAAGAGGAAACACAAGATCTTCAATGAACAGTCATCAGCTACAGAAACAGCCTAAGTTTACAGGACTTTTTAGAGTCTTACATATTTGTGCACCAAACTTGAAGATGAACCAGAAAACAAACTTAAACAAAATATACAATGCAAATGGAATTTTTTGTTGTTTAAGGCCTTGCCTTGATGGTCACAGTTATCCCAGTGGACACTGTAAGAGCACAACAAAAACTGATTCTGGTCTTCTTTACCAATATAATCATCATGTAAATAATAATTTGTATATTGTGTTGCAGATGAAAGTATTCCAGAGACAGTGAATGGTAGAAGACACAAGAACATGTGGTTGGTTGTCTTCTGATGTTTTTTCTTAAAATAGTAATTTCTCTTACTTTTCTTTCCTACTGTTGTCTTAACTACAGGTGATTGGAATGCCAAACACTCTTTATTTTCTTTTTTCTTTTTTCTTTTTATAAATTCAGTGTGCCAAATTAAACCTTTTTCTTAAGTAACTGTAATAGCAAAAAGTTTATTTTGAGAGTTTCTTCTTCATAAATCTACAGACGTTAAACAATTGTTGTGTTCTTTTTACCTTTTATTTTTCTATTACCTTGCTACCAAACAGTTTAGATAGCAATATAATAGCAACAAAGCAAATCTGGTAGAACAGAGAAGGTTTGAAGGTTTGAGTTACTCTGTCATATAACATGTAGATCAGTCCTCATGTGACCTGCAGTATTTTTTTTTCCTAATGTATTTGTCAGAAATCTATTGTAGACTGTTAACTTCTTCCTAATGGAATTTATTTTCTGCAAGAATTATTCTGATATTTAAGAGAGCCAATTTTAACTGCTGTGAAAATGTTTCCAGTGCAAGAGAAGGGAAATACTAGGAACTTATAAGACATTTCTAATTTATTGCTTATTACTTTCTTAATGTTTACAGGATAATTATAAGCAAGTGGAACTACCATCTTTTATTCTTAATAATAAAAATCCCTTCAATGAAACTTTAAAAAAACTGAATTTTTATACATGGCATACATTTTTCTAGGTTCCTTCTGCTTGCTTTATTAACTCAAAAGTTCTAGTTCTAGTCTGTTGATCTGCCTTTTGTTCTCCCAAAATGTACAGTAATTCTGTTTCTTGTTTGTATAAATATGCCTGGATTTTCATTATAAAAATGTCATTGTAGGGAGTAGAGACTCATATCATGGCCTTTTAAATATTGTAATAAAGGCAAATAGATATTTGCCCTTAGTTTACTGGTTAAAAGTTTGTTTACAGAACTTTTCTCTGGTGCTTAAATGATGCTATGTAAAATGTCATGGGTGGAAAGAATATTTGTAATAGTAACAAAAATTTTTCATTTAGGAAAGATTTCTTAGGTTTTGAAATAATACGTTAAGATAAAAAACTTGCCCCTACTAGGTAAGAACTTTATAATGAAGACATATATTCTTAAATTTACTCTTGCTCTTGTTAAAGATTTGTTTGAATATAGAAGATGCATGAATCTGGTTTTTCTTTTTTGAGACGGAGTTTTGCTCTTGTTGCCCAGGCTGGAGGGTAATGGCGCAATCTCAACTAACTGCAACCTCCGCCTTCCGGGTTCAAGCAATTCTCCTGCCTCAGCCTCCCGAGTAGCTGGAATTACAGGCATGTGCCACCACCCCAGCTAATTTTGTATTTTTAGTAGAGACGGGGTTTCTCCATGTTGGTCAGGCTGGTCTTGCACTCCTGACCTCAGGTGATCCGCCCACCTTGGCCTCCCAAAGTGCTGGGATTACAGGCATGAGCCACCATGCCCGGCCAGAAGAGGCATGATTTTTTAGGATCATATGCTGTTCGTAGCCATAAAGTAAATCATGTCTCTTCTAATCATGATTTTGGAACTCCCTGAATAATAAAAATGAGAGCTGAGATAAATAGGGGAAAAAAAATTTGTTTTAAGCCAGAGCTATGCGTATTTTAGGTGATGCATAGTATCCTCTTAAGATCTCAAACATTACAACATCAATTACAAAATATTGATAATGAAAGGTAGTAATGAAATATATGTGATTAAAAGAATTGAGAAGTTCTAAATTAAGACATTTCAGTTAAGCTCATAAAATTTCATTGTTTTCATTTAAAAGGGGATTAACGTTATTGATACTTGGATAACTGGCAAATCATATTAAAGGACTATGTGGTTCCAGCTCAACTTTTAATATATTATCTCCTTTAAAATTATCATGATTATAATTCTATTGGGAAAGACTTTTAGGTAACAAAGATTTCAAATGTTAAAAGAGATAAAAGTCTTAAACATTGAGTCAGAAAATCATTGCTGTATAGAAATTGCTTTCCTGATCAAGTCTGAACTTCAGCTAGTGCTAGAGAATTATTTTCTATGACTTAACTCTAACCAAGTTTTATTTTAAGCTGTTTCTTTGATAGAAGGGCCATGAAAACAGAGTAATGATATAGTAGGAGATAAGGGATTGGTGTGGTCTTTTTTCAATAAAGATAGAAGTTGTTGAAGTTTTCTGAATTAATAATGACTTAGATTGTGACCTTTTAGATTGGGTGTTGAGCTCTGTGTTATATTACTTCCTAAAAGATAATGCTTAAACATTAAGCATTGGTGTGCTCTTCATGTTAATATGGCAGAGTTTTGTAAACTAAATTAAAACTTACTGATATATTGGACTTTGAGCCAAGGGAAGAATGAGTACTATCTTTCCAGGTATCTTAAGGGTAAAAGCTTATTCTAAGACAGTCTGTCCACTGAGAATATTAGATTTCTGACTTGCAAATATGTTTGTACTCCAGAAGAATTAGAGGAAAAGCAGATACTAGAATTCTAATTTAAGTACATACACAGCAGTCTTTGTTTATAGTGTAGAATTCTTTATATTTTGTACAAAAACTAATTCTTTTGGTAAAAATGAATCATTTACAGTTCGGTTTTGGACTCTGAGTCAAAGGATTTTCCTTTAAATGCTTGTCTCAATTTTAGTCTGGTCTTTTGTACTTTTCTTCAGAAGAAATGAATTAAAGGGTACAGTTGCATAAAGTGGGTTTTTATCCTAATGTATTGGAAATAAATGATAAACTTTATTTTGCCTTTACTTTTTTACTTTAAAACTTTTTGATATTTTAGGGGTTGCAGTCTGATAATGAAGGAGTTGTGTGTATTGGATTCTGTTAGTAACAATTATAAACTCTTAACAAAATTTAGAAAGCAGGCCGGGCGCGGTGGCTCAAGCCTGTAATCCCAGCACTTTGGGAGGCGGAGACGGGCAGATCACGAGGTCAGGAGATCGAGACCATCCTGGCTAACACAGTGAAACACATCTCTACTAAAAATACAAAAAATTAGCTGGGCGAGGTGGCAGGCGCCTGTAGTCTCAGCTACTCGGGAGGCTGAGGCAGGAGAATGGCGTAAACCCGGGAGGCGGAGCTTGCAGTGAGCTGAGATCCGGCCACTGCATTCCAGACTGGGCGACACAGCGAGACTCCGTCTCAAAAAAAAAAAAAAACAAAACAATGATTGGGCGGCTCTGCAGAGCAATCAAAACAAGGTAGAAACTGCAAAGTCCTATATTGGAAGATTCAGGCTGGGTGCGGTGGCTCATGCCTGTTTGGGAGGCCAATATGAGAGAATTGCTTATGCCCAGGAATTCAAGACCCGCCTGGGGAATATAGGGAGACGCCGTTTCTGCAAAAAAATAAAATAAAATAAAAAACAAACTAAAAATTAGCCAGGTTTGGTGGCCCACACTTGTAGTCCCAGTTACTCAAGAGGCTGAGGTTAGAAGATTGCTTGAGCCTGGGAGGAGGTTGCAGTGAGCCAAGATCACACCACTGCACTCCAGCCCAGGTTACAGAAACCCTGTCTCAAAAAAAGTAAACAAGAGATTCACCTTAACCAGCTTTTACCCATAGGGCAATTTCCAGTTTGTGCAGTTCACGGGTATAGAATTCAAGTAGAATGTGGCAGTCTTGATGGGCTGAGGAGTCATTTGGGACTTCTAGAACACCTGAAAATTAGAAGAGAAATTTTGGGAAGGAGAGTGCCTCAGAAAGTAAGCCCTGAAATCTGCCTACATATTCCTTTCAAATCCTTGGTGGATTCCAAAATTGTGCTTGTGCAGTGTGATTATTTAAAGGAACCCAGCAGAAAGCATGTTAAAGTCTAAAGAACTCAGCAGAATTGCAGCTGCCCAAGGACAGAGAGTTTGAAATTCAAATTCCACTAAGAAGGACTGAGTAAATACTTGGTGTTTCCCATTGAACCCCCAAAATGCCATGCCTTAAGGAAGAATGACAGCATCCCAGAACTAAAGGCTGTGCCTTAGCACTAAGGCCAAAATGGAAAGAAACTCACTGTAATGAAGCTTAACATCAAATCTTACAGCATCAAGGTTATCCATCAGTAATTTAAAACCAGAACAAAACACAGCATTCTTGAGAAGAAAACAATTCAGAGTCATCACAGCATATACCCAAAGCTCAGTACATAATAAACAATTACTAAGCATGCAAGGAAAAAGTATGTGATCCTTTTGACTCACCTTCCCTCATGGAAAAAAAAAAAAGTGGTCCATACCATACTCAACAGAGAATATATAGAAGCAGATGCACAAGTGACCTCTATGAGAGTGATTTTAAAATAGTGTTAAAATATGTTAAAAGAATTTACAGGAAAAGAGAAAATGGGTGAATAGATTGGGAGTTTCAGCAGAAAAATAGGAATTAAAAACTCAATGGAGGCCGGGCGCCATGGCTCACGCCTGTAATCCCAGCACTTTGGGAGGCCGAGGCAGGCAGATCACCTAAGGTCAGGACATCGAGACCATCCTGACCAATAATGGTGAAACCCTGTCTCTACTAAAAATACAAAATTAGCCAAGCATGGGTGTTACATGCCCGTAATCCCAGCTATTTGGGAGGCTGAAGTGGGAGAATTGCTTGAACACGGGAGGTAGAGCTTGCAGTGAGCCAAGATCATGCCATTGCACTCCAGCCTGGGCAAGAAGAGCAAAACTCCATCTCAAAAAATAATAAAAATTGGCCAGGCGCAGTGGCTCACACCTGTAATCCCAGCACTTTGGGAGGCTGAGACGGGCGGATCACAAGGTCAAGAGATCAAGACCATCCTGGCTAACACGGTGAAACCCTGTCTCTACTAAAAATACAAAAAATTAGCCTGGCATGGTGGTGGGCACCTGTAGTCCCAGCTACTTGGGGGACTGAGGCAGGAGAATGGTGTGAGCTCGGGAGGCGGAGCTTGCAGTGAGCCGAGATCATGCCACTGCACTCTAGCCTGGGCAACCGTCTAAAAATAAATTTAAAAAAATAATAATAATTAGAAAATAATAAATAACCCACTGGAAAGTCTTGTAATGAAAAGTATAGTATCTGAAGTTAAAAATTTAAATGGACGGACTTAACAGTAAACTAGGCACAACAGAGGAAAGACTGAAAAAGACAAGCAAGTAGGTATCAAACCAAAGCACAGAGAGAAAGAAAAAAAAATAGCAGAGGTTTGAGACCTTTGGAACATTATCAGCTCCTGCAATTTGAAGTAGAGAAGGAAAGGAAGAGAATGGGGCAAGAGAAATCTTTGAAGCAATAATGCCTGAAATTTTCCCCCAAGTGTTGAAAGACATCAATGTACAGATCTAAGAAGTTCACTGAACCCCCAAGCAGAATAAATACAACAAAGACGACATCTGGGTACATCACATTGCCCAAAAAAAAAAAAAAAAAAATCTTAAAAGCAACCAAGGTGGGGAGTGGGAAGGAATAGCATTACACTCAGATAAACAAGAGTGATGGCTAACCTCATCAGAAATGATGAAATTCAGAAAATGATGGAATGACATCTTTAAGGTGCAAAGATTAAACAACAAAGGTTAACTTAAAACTCTATCCAGTTAAAATATCCTTCAAGATGTTAAGGCAATGGCCAGGCTCAGTGGCTTAACCCTCTAATCCCAACACTTTGGGAGGCTGAGGCAGGAGAATCCCTTGAGGCCATGAGTGACCAGCCTGGGCAACCTAGTGAGAACCCCATCAAAAAATAAAATAAGCTGGGCATGGGCTGTGATCGTGCTACTGCACTCCAGCCTGGGGGACAGAGTGAGTCCCTATCTCTTGAAAAACTTAAGACAAAATCTTTTCCAGATGAAAACAGAATTTGTTGCTGGCAGACTGACTTTATATGGAATGCTTTAAGAAATTCTTCAGGCTGAAGGAAAATACAAATCTGAAGTGAAAAATGAAGTATCTGAAATTAAAATTTTCCTTGGATGGACTTACCAGTAAATGGATTTCTCAATGAGAACCTGTAATCTCCAGGATGGAATTAAGAATTTTGAAATGACAAATATGTTGGTAAATAACATATTTACATTTTTCTTTTTTTATTTTTCTAAATATCATTGCTGTTTAAAGCAAACAAAAATAGTATTGCACTGTTTATAATATATGTATAAGTAAAATATGAGACAGAAATAGCATGAAGGGCCAGAGAGGACAATAAATGTAATTATATTGAAATAATATTATTACATTGTACACAAGGTGAGATAGCATTAATGTAAGGTAGACTGTGATAAGAATGCATTTCATAATCTCTCACCCCATCACTGGGGTGATCTACTGCACTAGATCTAAAAAGCCATTAGAGAAGATGAAATGGCTAAGAATTACTAAGAGTTATGTGATTGGTCAAATAAAATCAAGGAAAGAAAAATAGAGCAAAGAACTGTAAGATAAAACAGTGGGATGGTAGAGCTGAAATTAAGTAATGTCACTAAATTGCTTACCTTCCTCCTTCCTGAGCTATTGTGGATTTTTTATTTTTTATTTTTTTTCAAGGAGTTGGGGTTTTTTTTTTTTTTTAGAGACAGAGTCTCGTTTGCCCCAGGCTGGACAGCAGTGATGCAATCTTTCCTCCCTGTAGTCTCAAACTCCTGGGCTCAAGTGATCCTCCTGCCTCGGCCTCCCAAAGTGCTGGGATTACAGGCAGGCAGAGCCACTGCACCCTGCTGGAACTATTGTTTTAAAGTCATTAGGTGGTTAAGCCCTCAAGATTATGTGCAAGTTTGATGATTCATTAGGAGCACTCACAGGACTCAGCATATAGCCTTACTCCCAACAATGATTTATTAGAGCAAAAGGATATGAAGCAAATTCAGCAAAAGGGAAAAAAGGGAATTAAGTGAAGTCCAGAGGAAACCAAGCACCAGCTTCTAAGGGTTCTCTCCTGGTGAAGTCACACAGGATGTCACTCCAGCAACAAGTGACAGCATGTGAAAGTGTCAGGCCTCACTGTTAGGCATAGTAAGCTTGTTAGGGAACAGAAGGAATCTTTCCTCAAATTCAAGTTCCCAGATGCCTGGCAAGGGTCAACCTTGCCAGCAGGCCTTTCTAGGGATAGCAGTCTGAGGCACTCATTTGCACAATGGTTCAGATCAAAGTGCTTACATTGGGTAGAGGGGACCTATGGAAGCCCAAATTTGGGTGTCAGAGACCTAATAGGGTGAAGACTGTGTGTACAATGATGGACAGCTAGGTATGAGGTGTCAGGGACAGATTGAGGCAGTTATTCACATGGTGGATAGGGGCAACCTGGAATGAGGAATAAGCTCAAGCACAGAAAGGAGTGTCCATATGGGGTAAGGGTGTCAGCAGAGACGGTAGATTGGTTGCATACCAAAGACTTGATTGAATCAAGTGAATATATAACCACAGTGGAAGCCAGGTTTCTTACCATCAGAGAAGGTAATTATAAATACACAAAGGGGGAAAATTAGAATGAAACTTGGAGTTCAGCTTGAGTTGGGTTTAAAAGTGAATTCATGGTTTAAAATCTATAAAAATAGATGAAATATTGGTTGGGCACAGTGGCTCATGCATATAATCCCAGCACTTTGGGAGGCTGAGGCGAGCAGATCGCTTGAGATCAAGAGTTTGAGACCAGCCTGGCCAACACTGCAAAACCCCATCTCTACTAAAAATACAAAAATTAGCCAGGTGTGGTGGTACGCACCTGTAGTCCCAGCTACTTGGGAGGCTGAGGCACAAGAATCACTTGAACCTGGGAGGTG